CCCTGCTTTTGTTCCTGCTCTCCTTAGTAGATTCACTTTGGAGAAGGTGTATCCATTTGCCATGTATAATACAGAGTCGGATCTACTTGTGGCTTAAACCAACAAACTTGTAGTTGCAGGTACCATGACCGAGCAACAACGTTCAGAAGTGGAGTCCTAAACCCAGGGTGGAGTATAGATGGCAACAGTTGTTTCCAGGAAAAAAAAGGATCTGGTTCTGCAGAAGCACTCTTACAAAGTGCATGACCCTTTCAGTAATTTGGCCTACAGCCCTTTCAAGCACATTCTGTTCCCATTCATTTAACTAGCAGTCAGCTTGGAAAGGCTATTTTTAGCTATAGTCAGTTAAGGTTTCCTTTATCAAGTAACTATTTCACTAAAAAGATTATTTACAAGTTAATAGCTACACTGTATACTACCACCGCATCCTAGAAAACATCCTGCTCCTATGCTACTCCTGGAGTTTAATGCCAGTTATGAACAAATAGAGAATGGGTCCACTTCCGCTGAAGCTGCCCTTTGCTTATGCAAAAGGCTACCGAAATCAAAGTCCTCAGTCTCTCTTCAGGGCTGGTTATGCAAAGAAATTTCAAGGAGTACAAAAGCATTAACTTCATTTAAATGCTACCTGTCTAATGATTACAACAAGATAACCAAGTGGGATGAAAAACATTTTTACAGGAGAGTGGTCTCCTGCTGTTTTGGGTTAATGCTGGTTATGAACTAGTTTAGCCACTGCAAAAGGCTAAACATCTATTTTTAAAGCAGACAGTTATATCCCTGCAAAATTATTTTTAATCACAATTGGAATATTCTACATTGCAGATATACATCTGTACCTCAGATGCTAATCTAGTTCAACAATTTCTCTCTTTGCAACTAAAGCATATAGTATTAAATCTTTAAGGGTGTTCCCAGCACATGACAAAAGTTTAGGAAATTTACAAACTGCTTTCTTTTATCCTTATGAATTAATCATTTTTGTCTAAAGTCCTGATAGTCTCACACAATGCACCAAATGCAAATGCAGCTTGATCTTTAACTATGTTCACACACAGATATACAGGTAAATACACACAACTAAAGCAACTTCTGCTCGAAGCAGTGGCCCTGTTCACATGATCATGGTACAGGAAATAAACTTAGAGACTTGTTTCCCCACTGTGTATGCCAGCAGAGTTTGCACAGTTAACCCTTCTGGTACTCCTTACCGTGTTGTGCGTAGCTGATGGGAGTGGCTTCTTGCCCATGGACTGTGGGTGGCTCGTTAACCGTGGCAATGAGCCAACCTCACTGAGTTCACATTACAGCAAATTATGATGCAGACCCCCATAGCATGTGACTGACATGTCACAAAGGAAGTAAGCCATCCAATGACCCCTAACATGATTATGGGAACTGGGTCAGTATAAATTTTGTTCAGTTAACCAACTGAAAGACATACCTGATTTTCAGACAAATATTTTGTACTATCTCTTTTTCTTTTTCACAAAGGGTTATCATTAAAAAAAAAATAATTTAACTGATTCTCGGGAATTTGACGAATGAAACCTTTTCAACAGATTATCTCCCTGCTTAATTTAAGCCTGTCAGGTTGAAGTTAAAGGCACAGGAGTGGGGCTAATACAAAAGCATTTAGGTACCAGTTTGCCCATCTCTGACAACTGTACACATGTAAAAAGAAAACTTGGGCTTTCTCATATGAAGCCTAGCATCTTTTGTCCTTGATGCGAGGCTTCATTTCAGACGTTGCAATGCACAACCTGTATTTTAGCTGCACCTTTTAAAGGGACATCATAGTCTCCTTTTCCATAAATCTCACCCACTAAACTCATTGAATTAGTTTATTGCAGTGAGCTTATTTCTTGGAAACAAGCTCTGTGGGAACAAAGAAGAGAAAGGGTTATATTCTGGAGTGTTCACGTAAACTCTAGGGATTCCCCACTCTACCCACAAATGTGTTTTAGGAAGATACCACAGTCAATCACACTGAATGTAAATGATTAACACAATCTGCTTGAAACACACATAAAAATGTTAAGATTCCAGGCAACTGTTGGTCGCCCTGTTACAAACCTACAGAGTCCCATCTAGTCTATGCATCCTGCACAATGTTCTGATTTCTAGAAAGAATTCCTGGCAGTCTGAAAGTACGGCAAGGCCCACTCTCATTAACTAAGGACCAGAGAAACTCTTTTCAATATGAAATGATAGTTTCCCAAATGCTGAGATGTATTGTGTATTCATAAGACTTGAACATGATCTTGTTTTATTTTCATTCCAATTTGAGTCTCTCAGACATATTATTAGAACTGGACAGCTTTTAAGAAGGAAAACCATGTGCTGTACAAGCTCGGGTGACCAACAGCATCAGTATTTTATCTTTTACATGTTTAGACCACCCAGTGACCAAAGTTCTTTATTCAAAACTCCCTGTGGAAACCAAAACCTACATGAAAACGGGAAGGATGAAATTCTACAACATAGCCATGCAAATACATTGCTTGGGAGACATGTTATAAAATAAAATGTATTTACAGTTGCATATGTGGACAAAGTACAAGAGGACCAAAGTCCACATGATGATTAATTATGCCTTCGTGCATAATTCAACAACAATCACTTCTAACTGGAGCATTATCCATCTCAAATGCCCAGAAAGTTAAGAACAAAAGAAATAGTAGAAAGGAAACAAAATCCAGTCATCTGAAAGTTATTCTCTTATATAAGTATAGCATACACAAATGTATATCTAGCAATTGACTGGTGGTAACATATGTTTTGTAACCCCATCTCCACTATTTTTAATATTCAACTGCATGATCAGGTTGCTAAAGTGTTGAATTTCTAGCCTTTGTACCAACCTCCTTGGTATGGAAGATTGCTGTGTTTCTGTATGTGCGCCTGCCATCTTGGCCTTTACCTCAAGAATCCAACTGCCTTGGCCTTTCTTAGCTTGATTCATATAAGAAACACCTGAAAAGTGAACTTGTAATGACATGACAAAACTGTGTTGGAAGCCTATTCATACCACAGAGAGACTCCACGCGTTTGTATTTCAAGCACTGCATTCATATGGGTGCTTGCTTTTCTGAATCAAGTCTTATTTAATATATGTACTTTTACTCCAATATTCAACCAAATTTCCAAGTTGGTCTTAGTGCAGAAGTATTATATTAACCATTATGGCTTGTTAATATTCCACACCTCCTAGAAACATTTTGAGAAACTAAAACGTTACGCTGCTGACATGAACTTGTTGTCTTTCCCAAGTTAGAAAGATGCAACCGCAAATGAGTTAGCTTCCTAAGAAGTGGAGCAGTTCCAAGTAGAGCAATAGTGTGAATAGTGCTTCAACTATCACAACTAACAGATGGAAGTACTTTCTTATACATAGATTTTTACATCTTTTATTGTCCTGGTGGGACAGCAACATAACTTCTGTTGAAGGCAGGCAAATTTTTCTGGAAAGGAAGCAAATCCAGGGTGGATCTGGATTTTATTTATATTAGGTTTTAGGTTATTTTATGTAAGCTGTCCCAAGGCTATGCGATGGGACGGCATACAAATACTCTAAATAAATAAATTAAAAATAAATTAAAATAAAATATGCTACCCTTCCAATTTGCTAGTTTTGACAGCCTGACAGAGTAGCTGATAGTTAATTTTGAAAGGAACTTCTGGTGCTATATAGGTTCAAAAGTATTGCTGAACAAGTGAGGTTTCACTGATAAAAAGCTCAGTTCTATGATCTTTGGGAAACAGAATATAATTCAAATCTAAGATGTCATCTGACCTAAGCGCAAGGAGGAATAAATATACATGTGTGCACTGATTATTCCATGCAAGTTTGTTTAGTATAGTAATGCCATCTGTCAGGACTCTAACACATATCAGGACCTAAACTTGAGCCCTGAGAAATATCAGGCAGGGATGTAGCAAATGCACCTCTATCAACATTGATGTATGTATTTATTTGGGATATTTCTAGGCTGTCCAATCACTCTGTGTCTCTGGACGGCTCACAAAAATACAACAGTATGTGCAAAATTCTATGGTTCCTCTTGTCCTTTTTCGTGCCTGCCATCCTCACACCTCCGAAGCTGCACTGCTGAACTGTGGCTTCTCACAGCAACTAGAACAAAACTGTTTTTGATTTGCAACATGGTGTATGGGGAACAAACCCTGGTTTTAATGCAAAACTGTGCTCCCCTTGAGCTTGCAGGGCCATAATGTTGCAGTAAAACAAGGGGCATGCTCCCCATGCTCCTTTAAAAATGCACCTTTTTCTCATGGCTGAATCACTTCCAAAATTTGCTGGGAACATGGCAAAGTGGAGGACAGTCCAAGTGGTTGAAATTAGTCCTTAGAATCCTTCAAAGTTGCCTATCCCTGCTCTTAAAACTTCCAGGCCAGTGGGCCAGTATGGTCTGAGCAGCTCTATTACTCTATAGCCAATTACAGACCCACCACCACTGCCTTTGTCCCTGTCACCCCCAGCTACAAACAGGACATGAACTCAGCATCGACAATATAATCTCCTGCTTCAAATTCTGCCAACTGCAAAGATCTCTGACTTAGCTGCACATGGCCAGAAACAATCTACAATTCTATTCTGCTTACAGAGGAATTCCTACACCTACACCTTGGTAAGACTGAATTAGTCAGTCTCTCATACCCTGGTCTAACTAGAAACATCAAGGGGCATGTATCCATTTGAGGCCAGAATTACTACTACTACTACCAAAACATGCATACACATATTTATTCCTCTGAGTAGGCACATAATTTCTTTACTGAAAGACAATTAATGAAATGGGTCATTGCATGTTGCCAGAAGAGAACATGAGAAAAATGAGCCAGCTTTGACCAAACCTAGAGGCTGGGAATTTCAAAAATGTTTTTAATAAATCAAAGCTATGTGAGAAAGTGATCTGGATTTCAGTGCTGAACTACTGCAAATCCACTAACGCAAGCGAGGATGTGAAGTGCTTACTCACACTCTTTCATCATGCCTATGTCAACGCAACGCTTCAGCCTGCAAGCCTGGCAGTGCCGACGGTTATCTTTGGTGATCTTACAGTCGCCATTGAAAGGACATGTGAACATCGCTTTCCTTTTCATGCTCCTCCTGAAAAAAGAAACATAAAATATGTCATCCTGGCTTGCGATTTTTTAAAAAAAGTAATTCATAGTCATTTGTGTGGACACTATTCTGAAAACAGTGTGGTAGATCTGCTTACAAAGCCAGCTATCTTCTAAGTACTTACCTGGTATAGGATAAATATCTTAAACGTAGCTGATGTTACATTTCTCTGAAATCTGGTTATTTTAAAAATCTGCTCTGTCATTACATGTCACAGACACTAACAATTTGCATGTCTTAGTGGTTTTCTTTCTAAAAATTACAATATTTTATGGGCCGCACACTGAAAAACACAGTTTCTTGTCAAACAGAAACAGCTTGTACTATAAACAGGAAGACATTAACCACAATTCAACTGGCACAAATAGCTGAGTCTAAACCTGGCAAACTACTTGGAAACTGCAAAGAAGAGGGCAAAAGTACCCCTAGGACTTAAGGGCAGGTGATAAGAGAGCCAAAGATGGGGTATTTGTCAATTCATACAGCTCTTTAATCACTTTATGAATCCTGGAAAAGTAGCTCACAGCAACAGGGTGATAAAACATTGTGGTATCTCAAAAACCAAGCAGTTTATTGTGTGAGCTTTCACCAGTTGAATGAAAATGTGGTAGGTGATGCATACTCACATGGGTTTAATTTCACTATAGTGTTAATCAAGCAACAAGGTAAAAACTACCTAATATAAATAGGGTAAAAAGTAGACAAGAGATTTGAAACATACCATCAGTGCAATGCAGAACCAAATACATTAATGTTGGCTGCATCATTTCCAACAGCATATTTTTGAAGCCTGCCACTACAGTAAATCCCAACAGTAAAAGGTTAATCGAAGCTATACTATCTTTTCTGGACTTCAAAGTCTTTTCTTTCTAGTAGATAAAGCAAGATAGGCTTGCGAAGGGGAAGGAAGTCTAACTTGTTCACTTGGGAGTTAACATCATGTGCAATACATAGCATTGCGACTTTGTGAAAAGTCACAGGGATTTGTACATTTTAGCATTTATGTTTATAGCACAAATATGTGCCCATTCTATAGTACAGTGCCAAAATTGCAGGGCTCTACTTTAAAAAATGTGTGGGTGTTGAGTTCTTATTTTTGTTTCTGTTAACTGCATGTATACCATCACTGCTGCGTAAAAATGAATTAAAAATAAAGTGTGGTTATTCATTAAAAGTTGCATAACTGAGTTAATTAATTTAGCTAATTAATTATTAGTTGGATAATTGAATATTGAGGAGAAATAGCAAGATGATACGAGCTAAAGTAAGCTGCCCAGGGAGTTTCCATTGGCCATGAAAAACCGCTAAGACTTCCTCAGAAGATCTCAGGGTTCAACCAGGTACATGTAAGAGATAGTTGGCTAGGAATCCTGTTCCCAAGTCATGCAGAGTGGTGCATGCCAACAGCAAAAACTTGTGCATGGCTCTGTAGCTAATAGGCAGCCAGTGGATCTCGTTTAATACAGGTACAATACGTATGTAACTAGAAGTAGAGATGTGGAGAGGTCCATCCTAGGGCTGGGAATCATGGCCCTGAGTCTGAGTTCTTGGTGACCACCCAGCATTTGCAGGGCACTTGTCTGGATAGCAGCCCCACATGCTGTGCAAGCAGCATCCCGCTTCTGTGCCACATGCCACAGCTGTTGTGCTGCAGCACAGCAGAAGAGGGACACTGCTCAGGAAGCAGTCGCACGGGGGTCACCTGAGATGGAGCTCCACGCAACGAGTGCCCAAGCAGCATCTCCCGTCTGCAGCATCTGCAGCAGTGCTGTTGCACCTGACATGAAGGAAGGCTGTTGGCATGGGGCTCGCCAAGGATGGAGCCCCATTCAACCACAGTGCAGCAGCATGATGTCTGCAGCATCTTTTCTGTTGTGTCATCTGACACAGAAGGAGACTGCTGGTTGCACAACCTTCCTTTCGTGAGCATTTGTGGACTTCCTCTTAGCTCACTTTGCAAAACTGAGCTAAGGACCAAAGGAAGCTTGTAAATGCTAGAGGGATGGAGTCCAGTGAGTTTCATCCCAAGCGTAACCAGGAGACCCACTAGGAATACTAGATGCTGCTTTCTGCAGTGACAACAGTTCCCAAACCAGTTGCAAGGGTAGCCCCATGCAAGGAGTTTGACATAATTGTATCTGTGTTTGGAATCACACATGAATGAAGCAGAAATACAGGTTGTTGTTAAGATGGTAACCATGCATCAGTACCCCATGTCTGCTTCGTATTTACAAATACCTCTGCTTCCTAAAATGTAATTCAGCCCTCATAGGGCAAATAACCCAGGCACAAAAAGGAACAATCATGCAAAAGCAAACAAAAACAACACAACTCCAAGTTAATGAATGCTAACTAAAAAAGTTAAAAACAATTACTTTTGGAAAGAAAATTACCTTGAAATGTACTTTAAAGGAACAGAAAACTGAAGACAAACTATAATCATGAGGACAAGGAGATTTTTATGAACCACCAATGTCACCTAATATATTAAAGTTCTCCCGTGCCACTTAATACCATAAATGGCACTTTGTTACACATCCATTGGTCTTACCTTTGACCAAAAGTTACCTTCTTTCCCAGGAAGCCAAGTCTTCTCCAACCAACCATAGGAATGCTTGCATTGTCCTAGCTTGAGCACCCTTGCCTGTCAATTGAGCCTTTACATTTTTATACCACTTTATCCCACTTACCAAACAGATCTGCCCTTTGCTTTGCAGATCACTAAATTCATTAAAGTTGTTTAACATTCAACCCAATTTCACTAGAATCTCTCGTGTGCTAAGAAAAATCTTGGAAACCTTTCACTGGCAAGTGGGAAAGGAATTCATGCCTACTTCAAGGGAAGATTCAGAGCCTTGGGGTAAGAAAGCAGAAGCTAAAGAGGCAATCAGGAAATTATAGTAACTATGGATGTCAAGTAGAACAGAAATAAGAGCTGCTGGATTGTAGCTCCACAACTGACACATCATTCTGAAAAGAAATGTCAAATCAAGTCTCTGAGTGACATAAGAATAACAATCCTGATGTACAGCCAAATACGACAATTCAGGCTCAAATCATCCATTTCACAATCTCTTACAATGGATGAAGCTAGGTAGCTTTGATTAAGAAAAATGATGCTCACCTTTTTCTATCTCTCACATTCCTTCTCTCATTTGATGCTCACATTCCATATTCAGGCAGCCAGCAAATATTAACTGGCCTTTTGGAGTCAGTCCCTACTTGTGCCTGCCAGTAATCTGGCACTTCATCATCAGAAGGAAGGGCAGCAATCCTGTCCAACTGAGGAAATGTCCATGGGTGTCACTACTCTGTTAAAAGATTCTGAGCCCAGGCCTGCAGGACATAAAGCTACATAAAATTTGTTTAAGCTAATTTGCTTCTATTGTTGTTGTTAGTTGCTAAGTCGTGTCCGACCCATCGTGACCCCATGGACAACATTCCTCCAGGCCTTCCTGTCCTCCACCATCCCCCAGAGTCCACTCAAGCTCACACCAACTGCTTCAGTGACTCCATCCAGCCACCTCATCCTCTGCCATCCCCTTCTTCTTTTGCCATCTATTGCTCCCAGTATTAAGCTCTTCTCCAGGGAGTCCTTCCTTCTCATTAGGTGGCCAAAGTATTTGAGTTTCATCTTCACTATCTGGCCTTCTAAAGAGCAGTCAGGGTTGATCTCCTCTAGGACTGACCGGTTTGATCGCCTTGCTGTCCAAGGGACTCGCAGGAGTCTCCACCACAATTCAAAGGCCTCAGTTCTTCGACGCTCAGCCTTCCTTATGGTCCAGCTTTCACAGCCATACATTGCAACTGGGAAAACCACAGCCTTGACTATACGCACTTTTGTTGGCAGGGCGATGTCTCTGCTTTTTAGTATGCTGTCTAGATTTGCCATAGCTTTCCTCCCCAGGAGCAAGCGTCTTTTAATTTCTTGGCTGCAGTCCCTGTCTGCGGTGATCCTGGAGCCCAAGAAAATAAAATCTTCCTGGGCTCCAAGAAGAATTTGCTTCTATATATGCAAAATTGGATAACAGATCCCAGCCTATTCATTTCCCATCTCAAATAAAACATCTCCAATTATTTTTTCTGCCTTAGATCATCCCAAACAAAATGTCTCTCTTCAAGTACAATTAAATTACAATTCCTTACTGTCCCTTCCTGTGTCCCTCCAATTTTGCCCTCCCGGGGGAAAAATGCCTGCACCTCCTGCAATGACACTTAAAAGCTTCCTTAACACCAAGTGAAGTTTCGTTTGCATTTCTTGGGGTGGGAAGGTTGAGAAAGTACTCACTCCTGCATGTACGGAGAGAGTTAACTCTTCCCTCCCAGCTATAATCTCCCCTGAAAACCACCCCGGTATGACAATTAAGTTGCAAAATCCTCCACTGGTATTAATGAATGCTCAGAGCTCTGCGAAACAGATCCAGAGCCCTATGAAATAGATTTGGAGCTGGGACCATGTGAGTTCAGGCCTGAAAACATCCTTGATGATGTCAAACCTTGGAGACACTGACAAAGCCATAGGAGATCTCATGGGCTTCACACAAAGTTAGCAAAATATAAGGAGTAGTGCCCACTATTTCTAGGCTCAGAAGGGCAGAGCTTTCTCCAATTTAGCTCTCTTGCAGGTATGTTCGGCACTTACTGAGCAAAACCTTATCCAAGGACAAGTCGGCCCATCTACAATGGTAAGGGGAGTCATGGGATTGCAGAGTGGGGGAGAAATTAAAGAGAGCTTCAAAATATTTTCTAACAAAAAATAAGCAACTGAAAGGCTAGTCCAAACAAGTTCCCTGAAATCCATTTCATGTATTTTCCTTCAGCGTATCTGAAGGACTTGTCATGAAGGTCCTAGCAGGCCCTTCAGAACTATTTCAATCTATTCCTGAAGTAGCTGAGAACTTTGCTTTCAGATATAAAATGCACAGGGGCAAGCAGCATTTGACACAGTTGGTCACAGAAGACTTCAGTTCACAGAAAGGACAGAG